GGGCTAGGGATATCGCTCAGTGGCAAAGCGCCTGCTTGGCAAGTGTGAGGTCATGAGTTTGATTCCGGGTACAAAAAAAAAAGTAGGAAAAACCAAAATCAAACTGGTTTTCCTATTTTAATGAAATCCCATGATACAAATTACTATTGCTGACTCTGTACTTTGATTTAATTCAAAAGGAAAGTTGTGCCTTAAATCTGGAAGTTTGAAGATGCATATATAATATGTTAACAAAGAACAGTTGTGCTTTTATCCTTGATGGATTAACTTTTTTAAAAACTGTTTTAGTGGGCTTTATGTAGTAAAACTTATCCAGCTTGAATTCTGAATAATAATTTTCACAAAAAACAAAGAGAAGTCATAATAAGTAAGAGTTTGTCGTTTTACTTAGGACTATCTTGTGGTATTTCTGTAAATTTCTTTTGTTTGTTTTCCCTAAAACTATTGCTTTTGGTAATTACCAATTGTATTTTGCCCTTCCTCACTCCTTTCCTTTTGTCTTTCCTTCGCTCCCCTTCCTTTCCTTTCTTTCCCCTCCCTCTCTCCCTTCCTTGTAGAGGAAGACTTCTCTGCACAAATAGTTACCCAGTACCTGCTTTTAACCCATAGGCTAGGCTAGGCCTTGGGGATAGATGGTAAAGTAGGTTTCATTTCTATTTTTTTAGATGGTAAAGTAGGCAAATTCCTCTCCTTTTGGAGATTAATGAGTATATGAAAAGAAGGAGCTGAGGAGAATTATCTGTTTTAAAGAGTGGTCAGAGATGGTACTAACATTGAAAATGAGCCTAATTTATGAGATTGTATCAGTCACTCGAAGGTCTAAAGCAGTGGTGGTGAACCTATGGCACTTGTGTTGTTTTTCCTTTAAGACAAAAGATGTCAATCATGAGTTGCTTTTCTAAACTAAACCTCAGTATTTAGGTTGAATTGCAGCATTGGTACTTTGCGATACTTAAGTGGGTTTTGGGTTATAGTTTGGCACTTGGTCTCTAAAAGGTATGTCGTCTTTGGTCTAAAGGAAAACCACTCTAAGCAGAGGTATAGCAAACATAAAGACTTCTTGTTGGGAATAAGCTTGCTGAGTTGGAGGAACACCAACAAGGCTGATATGGTCTTGGTAACAAAGTGCTAGCAGATAAAGTTTGAGAGGGAGGCAGAGCCAGCTGTAAAATGTGTTTATAAACTCTTTCATAGAAAGCATGGCCGGCAGAAAGGAATTGAGAGTTCTTACTGATGTCAAAGGTTTCTTTGGTTGGGAAAGGAATGGTATTTTGTAGTGAAGAGGGAGAAGGCAAAGATTGGCTTATGTGTCTTGTTCTTTTACTGCCTTCCCCATCCTGATTCTCCCTGTCTGCCCCCACTACAGGTGTTCCCTGAAGCAGTAGACCCTGGAGATGTGGTTGCACAACTTGAATGTAAGTTTTTAACTTTTTAATTTCTTTTTTTTATGTTAAAGAGAAGAAGAAAAAAATAGAAATAAAACATTTTCAAATCCGACTAATAGAATAATAATAATTAATATATTGCACATTGTTATCTTCATAGTAGTTACTCAGAGTACAATATATAGGCATGAAATAAAGTGCAGACAATATTAGCACAAGTAACTTTTAAATTTCTGATCCTAAGACATTTTAGAATTTATACTTTATGTTCTTTACACCTCTTGGGTTAAAGAAAAGCTTAAAAGGTTCAATAGAATTTCAAAAATCTTGAGCTGGGACTGCTTCTACACTTTTTTAGAATGTAAGAATAGACCTAAAATAATAAATTTATTTGGCTGCACAGGGGCTGAGAATTACGCCTCTTTATATTTTGTTTTTTCTGGAAGAGAAAGGAAGAATTATCTAAACTTTTTACTGGTCAAAGGGGAATGGTAGGGTGAACTTTGCACAGCAAACATCTTTAACCTCAGTGAAGTGTAAATCAAGAGGTGAACAATAAAAGATCAGAATGATGGTAGCTTAAAATATACATGCCTTTACATTGTGTATTGCATTCATTATGTTAATAAATTCTTTCAAAGTTGTAGATACAAGTAAATTCTTCAAAGTACAGAACTAGGCATAGAAAAAAATATAACTGCTTGTGAGAACAGCTATGTAAAAGTTTATTCTTGAAAAAGTTATTCAAGTACTGGGGATTTGTCCTTATAATTAGGATCTCAGGATTGGTCTAATATATAACTGGTCCAGAAAGCAAACAGCATTGGCTATCTTCACCGGCAACTGTGCCATACACACTAACCCCACTCCTCACACCACCAGAGTGTAGAACTGCAGAAGAAACATGGAACCTGGCACCATGCTAGAATCTGAGTATAGAAGGAAACAGGCCAGCCCATAGTGTATCTTCACAGAGTTATAGTTTAGGACTTCTCTAGGGAATGCTATGGCATGTGTCAGTATCTTGTTATTTTAGAGGTGTTCTAGCAATTGTATTATCCACTGTGGAGGACGAGATAGGTGACAGTTTGGTGACAGTGGGTGTATAGGTTTTCATATTTCCTGTTCATTTCCTGAAAAATTACGTATCTTAGAAAAAGAATAATAATTTTACTGATTTGGAAATTCTTCTATTAAAAATAATACTTTTGTTCCTATTTGATTTGAAATTTTAGGCCTGTGTGAGTACTTAATAACTATTATTAATTGGAAATTTTCTTCTCTGGTTTTCTATTTCAGTTTTTCTATTGGGTCTGTATACTCATCCACTTTTCCATTTCTGTGATATCCTTCTCATTTGTCATGTTTTCACCATCTCTGTTATGCTAGGGGTCAAATCTAGGATCTCAAACATGCTAGCCACATGTGAAATAGCCTCTCAGATCCCTTTTTACTTCACTTTTGCTCTCTGCTTAAATAATACTCTCCAAATACTTGGCTTTATGTATTATTTATCCTCTGGTGATTTGTACCTCTGTCCTTGTCCCAAGACTAGCTGTGGTGGATTGATAACTGGTGGTCAACTTATAACCCCCAGCTGAACTGAG